TTTTTTTTTTAAGGGACAAGGTCTCACTCTGTCACTCAAGTGTGATGGATGATCATAGCTCACTGCAGCCTCAAACTCCTGGCCTCAAAGCAATCCTCCCACCATAGCCTCTTGAGTAGCTAGGACTACAGGTGTGCTGGGACTTTTTTTTTATAAAAAGAAAAACAACACTCTTTGTAGATATGAGGTCTCATTATGTTACCCAGGCTGGTCTTGAACTCCTGACCTCAAGTCATCCTCCTGCCTTGGTCTCTCAAAATGTTGTGATTACAGGCATGAGCCACCTCACCCAGCATAAATACTTTTCGACCAAAAAGCGACTATCTTATAAACAGCCAATATATACAAGGCATATTGAAACAAGTAACATCAGAATTATACTCTATGTCAAAATCATGGATACGTACAGTCACTGTAAATAAAAACATGGTGGTCTGGATAGGCTTTAATTAGCTTATTCACTAAAACAGAATTCTTTTCTGCAATATTTAGAGGAAGATTACTGGAAATATAGCTCTTCTCTATAAAATCAGTGGAAAATCATTATACATAGACTTGGATGCCTACATACCTATAGCTTACTCAACATATTTATACCAGAAATTTGAAGATGTCCTCTCCTCCTAAGTGACCCACTGAAAATCTATACAGCAGATTTGCTGAATTATGATTATTTGTATTTAACATTAAATTGAACATATTTAAAAAAATTTTAAATTTTACATCTCTTCAGCAAATGCATATATTAACGGTTAACAAATGAAATACTATCTCTTTGTACTAGATTTTAGTCTATAGCTCAGTTCCTTATTTATTAGGGACTAATAAGAGAGAGAGTATAAATGCTTTATTAAGCTAATCCTTAAATCTTGTTTATGTTAAGCTTTTTACTCAGAGATAATTGTAGATTCTGAGATAGTTGTAGATAATTGTAGATTCACATGCAATTGTTAAGAAATAATACAGAGATCTCCTTGTGTTACTTTGCCTAGTTTTCATCATTGGTGACTTGTGCAAAACTGTAGGATAATGTCACAACCAGGATATTGACATCAATTTTATTCAA